AAAACGGGTTCTGGCTGCCGAAGGTGCCGAACAGGTTTAGGTTGCCGAGGCTGCCGAACGAGTTTAGGCTACCGAAGGTTCCGAACGAGTTCAGGCTGTCGAGGGTGCCGAAGGGGTTCATGCTACCGAGGGTGCTGAATAGGTTGAGGGTGCCGAGGGTGCCGAACGGGTTCAGGCTACCGAAGGTGCCGAACAGGTTCAGGCTGCCGAATGAGTCTTTCAACGATAACCGAACAGCGAACTGAGTGACGACTCAGTAGGGAAAACCATGTCATTTTAAATTTTTTATTTATTTAAAATTCACAACTAAAGATCACGTTTATAAGAATTTGCTTACGTTGTTTGTCCCGAATATGATATTAGCCATGTGCCCCTTTTACAAATCTCAGTATCTAGTCTGCCTCTTTTTGGTCATATTATAGTTTTCGATCCCTTGAAAATATTCTAGTGATTTTTTAGTCTCTCACTATGTTTCCAGTCTTAAGTCATCATTTGCTAACAAAGTTTTATTATTATCCGACTTGAACAACTTACAACAAAAACAATATACTTTGTCAACAATATTTTGAATAAATTAACCATCTTCCATCACTAGCCTCACCATTGTTCAACTTCCTAGAATAATAAACATATGAAAAATGTAAAGTGTTATCCAAGAGAAAAATAAGATTCATTTCTCTTATAGGTCCTTTTTCAATTAAAATGTCCTTTCTTTGTTATCAAGATTATCCCAATTTATAGGATCATAAAAATCTAGATGAAAATTTGATTGTTCTTGCTCAATGTTAAGATTTTCAGTACTAAATTCATTTGGCACCTCATCACATGTATCATTAACTTCATTCTCACTTAACATATTTTCAGTTTGTAAGCTAGGATTTGGTTGATCAATATTTTCAAGAGAACTTACATTTTTAAAAAAAAATTTATCAAGAATTCCTTGTTGTGATTTTATTAACTCTTCTTCTTATTTTCTCTTTTTTCTTTTTTCATTTCCATATTAATGTTTTTTAGACAACATTGTATAAAAGAAAATCAAATACTTAAAAATGTAAGAAAAATAACAATAACACCTGAAATAGGAATTAAAATTGAATTCTTGCTCACATGTTTGTTAATTCCAAATGCCAACATAGTTAAAAAAATTAATCAATATAAAATTAGCCATAATATAAATAATTGAATATTTGAGTATTCTCAAAATTTTAAAAATATATTCTCAATTTTTTTTATAATAACAATAATAAATTTTTAATTTTTAATTTTTGTACAAATTATTATAACCGATCCACCACTGGTCCACTATATATAAAATATTCTAATAGAAATCTTATGATTTTAGAGTAGTATATCACTAACATCAAAGACCACAATTATACCATGACCATCATTCATAATACGTGACTAAATTTTAAAACAATATTATATAAATGTTACAATCAGGATAAAAGATATAAAAAAAAAAAAGTTTAGATTATGAAAGGGTGTGAAGCTCATAAAGTTAGCCAAAGAAAATTTGCAGATAAGTAGATGATGAAAGACTGTGAAATATTATTATAGTAGTACAATATTGAACTGAACACAAAATGACTTTTAACCTTTCATTTTCTTGGCTTTAAATATTAAAAATAAATATATCTATTAGAAATAAATAAATTAAATATTCAGTTATTGAAAAGATAAAAATTAAAACCACTTATTTATAAATTGTACCGTTGAAGACTTGGAAAAGTTTAATATATATATAATTTTAAATACTTAAGGCTATTCAAAATTTTGGGCCTTTTATGATATTGGGTCTGGGCGATCGCACACAATTCCTAAGCTCAGTCAGAACTGGCCATGGGGAGGGGTAGAGTGAGGGGGAGAGAGATAGGAAGACACGAGAAATGAGAGTTGTAACGTAGTTTAAAAAAAAAGGTAATTTAGTAACTTAGAACGGGTCGTTCCCAATCTGGAACAGGCCGTTCCAAACTACTGAATTGACCTATAAAACGTAGTTGAAAACGGGCCGTTCTAGTTGGAGTACAGGCCGTTCTGATTTCAGAACGGGCCGTTCTGCATGTGATTTTTGCTCATGATGAAGGGGTGCAGAACGGGCCGTTCCGGATTCGGAACAGGCCGTTCTAGCCACTCCGGAACTTCTATAAATAGGAGTTGGGAGCAGTTGAGGAGAATGAGTTTTTAGAGAGAAGTTTTAGAGAGAAGGACTCTGGGTCTGTGAGCTCCTTTCTCTCCCAAATTTCTCTGTATAATTCCTTTTCTCCTCTAGATCACTAATGCCTTCCGTCTTTCCTTGAAATTCAGATTAGGAAGCTTACTTTGGGAGGATTGAAGTTCCGGGTTGAGCTTCGGAAGGAAATTCTACTTCTTCTCAGTTATTGGCTATTTTGAGCCAATCTTCAGGTGAAGGAAGCTAGAATGTTTGTTGTTTAGGTTGCATGTGAGTTTAGAAACTCAATAGGTGCATGAATGTTGAGAATCCATAGATGGATTGAAGAAAATCTCATTTTTGGGGTTTTGAGAAAAAGGAGGATTTTGATGCATAGTTTGGATGCATGTGAGATTAAAGTTTATTTTGAGTCGTATGGAGCCTATGCATTGTGTTTTGTGTTTGCATGTGGCTGAATTTGTTAGTTTGGATAAGAGTTTTGAACTCTCTGACTGGGATTTAGGCCGGGCACAGGTTGAGCGCGCTAGGCGTGGAAGAGCTTAGGGCTCTCAGGTTGGATGTTTGGCCAGGCGTGATTTGGTTGCGTTAGGAGTGGAGACTCTTAGGAGTCTCTGTCTTAAGGACACCGAGCGTGAGTTGAACGCGCCAGGTGTGGATGAGTTTTAGGACTCTCAGGTTGGGATTAGGTTGGGCGAGCTCAGGCTGCGCCGAGCGTGAATATGTTTATAAATAATTGATTTAAATTGATGCTTATGCATGTTTAAAGTTGAAATTTTAGATCATGTATATATGATATATGATGTATAGTGCAATGTGATTCATATGTATGCTTTGTGATGATACGTATGAATGTTTGAATATGATATGACATGTGTATATGTTCATATGGGTATGTTTATTGATCATAATGGTGGTAGACCATGTATGATGTATGATGCGTTATTGCATGTGATGTCTTATGACATGTGTATGATTGTTGATCATGATGGTGGGCAGACCATGTATGATGTATGATGCATAATTGCATGTGACGCCTTATGGCATGAGTCTAGCCTAGGACTTGAGGAGAGGAAAAATACTTTCGAACTAGAAGAGCTCACATAGAGTCAGGGTATCCTATTCATAAAATTTTGAATTACACAAGTATAAATTATATTAAGGATAATCATGATAATTCTAATTCTTATCTTTTAATTTAATTCAAACATCAAATTAGTCTAGATTGTTTCTCATAGTTGAATTATATAAATATAATTCATACTAAAGATTAACATGTTAATTCTGATTCCTAACATCTACTTTTTAAAAGATATATCTATCTTTTGGTACAGAAAAATATATTTATCTAATCCACGTACCGTTTTAATATTTTTTTCTATAATATTTATTTTTAAAAGGTTTAAAAATTTCAGGAACTAAAAAATAAATATAAAAATAAAAATTACATTTAAGTCTTTTTATATTTTAAATATTATGTTAATTGATAATTATTTTTCATGATCAATAATTTTGAACTAGTATTAACTTGTGTATTTTAAGTTGAGAAATTGCTTTTGAACTCCTGGTGTTTTCCTTTCATATTAGAACCATTATTGTGAGACCCCCCCGTACGGAACCTTTTTCCCCCAACTCTCTCACTCTCTAACTCTCATTTTCCCTCCTTGCTTCCATCTGTGCATTGGATCTCATTTACCATTTTCCTGTCTCAAGGTGGTGGTGCGGATTAAGTTCAGGATTTTTCTAGCTGAGTGTGCGGAGGCCTTTTTCCCCTTGCTGTCCAAGCTTGTTCTTCTTCTCCGAATCAAGCTTTTTCCCCCTTTCTTCGTTTTCCTTCCCGAAGCTCGGATCTTCAAACTAAGGTAAGGGAAGCTGGTTCTTGTGGATTTTTGGTTGTAAACGAGTTCTAGAAACTCAATTTCTGATTTTTGGTTGTTGATTCTTGGTGGTGATTTGCTAAAATGGGTTTTGGGAGTTGGACTTTCATTTCAAAAATTTGGGTTTTTTTGATTCTATGGTTGCATGTTGGAAATGAGAGGTTTTTCGTGATGCTCGATGGAAATGCATTATTTTGGGCCGATTGCATGTGGGATTTCCTGGTTGTTTTGTAGGTTCCAATGAGATTTTCGAAAGTTTGAGGGTAGCTGCTGGGTATCACGCCGGGCGTAGTTCTTCGCGCCGGGCGCGTGACCATCAGAGACTCCATTTAGGCAAGCACGTCGGGCGCAATGGTGAATGCGCCGGGCAGACTTGAGGATGTGAGTCTCTGGATGGCCCTCGCTGGGCGTGGTAGAACCGCGCTGGGCGCGATATCAATGTATGACTCAAGTTTTGAGTTCTGGTGTGGTGCCGAGCTTGGCCTTGTCTCGCCGAGCGTGGAGATTCCATGGGAGTCTCTGCCAGGGGTGGCGCCGGGCGCAATTTATATTGCGCCGAGCGTGAGACTTGGAGAAAGTCTCTACCTATCCTGCGCTGGGCGCGAGTTCGTACGCCGGGCATATGAAATCCTGTGAGGCCTCTGCCTTCCCTCACGCCGGGCGCAATAAGTATTGCGCCGAGCGTATTGGTTTCGGGTGCTCTCTGGTTGTGGCACGCTGGGCGCAACCACGAGTGCGCCGGGCGCGGATATGAAAATTCCTTATATACTGAGTTGAATTGGAATGGACGAATATGGTGTGATGATGAGTAAATAATATTGCTGATTGATATGAGTTGCATTAGTTGTATTTTGATTGAAAAATGATATGGTGAGTTGTATTAGTTGTGCATTGTTGCAAATCGATATGTCAGTTGTACCGTTGTGTAGGCCGAAAGGCTGAGGTGTGTAGGCCTAAAGGCTGAGTTATGTAGGCCGAAAGGCTGAGGTGCGGTAGGAGATCTTTGAGGTGATATGTGTGACGATGCATTGTGTGTGCATTGATAAACCGTATGGTAATGACTGACAGGATGTTATTGATGAATTGTTGATGGTTGTAATTGCTGTTATTACTTAAAAATTTCCCTATATCTTGTTCTTTTTATACTAGCTCACCCTTGTTGTTTTCCATGTGTTTGGACTGCGATGATCATACTTGCATGGGAGCAGAGCAGGGCTAGATTTGTGATAGGAGCAAGCTTATAGCTGGCAGAGGACGGGGAGTCTTAACTGGCTGATTTTTGGACGTTAAGCCACTATCTGGCTATTTTGGATTGTATTTTATATTTCGCCCTAACTCTAGTCGGATTGGAACATTTGTATATATTTATATTCTAGATCCTATATTTATATACTCGTTCTATTCTGTCTAGTGGACACTCTTTGGGGGTGGTCCCTTTAGGCTTTCGTTGTGTTAACTCTGTGTTGTGTGATTCTGTTGTGTTGTTTACTATGTTGACTGATGTGATAAATTATTATGTTGTTAATTGTAGTTGGGTTGAATGGTAGTATACTAAAGATGTTGTTCCTTTTTGTAGACGATGACTAGGACCAACGAGCAGATAGCCCGTGCCATAGAGATGATGGCTATGGCTATGCAACAGCAAAATGCCTATTTTGCTAGGATGGAGGCTGAGAGAGCTGCAGCAAGACCTACAGGGTCACAGGAAAGCCGGGATCTTGCTGAGTTCCGGAAGTGTAGTCCTCCACAGTTTGCAGGAGATGCGGATCAAGAGATAGTTGACCGCTGGATCCGTGAGCTGGAAAAGATTTTTAATGTCCTGGGATGTCCTCCAGAGAGGAGGTTAGCATATGCTGTGTATATGCTTGTGGGAGAGGCCGAACATTGATGGGGAAACACTTATCAGATGCTTGCTACTAGAGGAGTTGCAGTTGACTGGGAGTGCTTCAATATTATAAGATGACAATATTACAATCATATATCATCCGAAATAAAAAAAAATACAAAATCATTAGCAAGTGAATTAGGATGTTTAATCCTTTGCAATAGGCATAGGATAACGACACAAAGGACACATGTGACTGGTTTGGAGCCACTTAACAATACAGTCACTATGAAACACATGATTGCATGGCATTGACAAGCAAGATAAGGAATTCACGTCATCTTGAAACCTTTCCATGCAAATATTACACTTTTCTGTTTTCAAGAACGATGAGTCTGTGAATGCTTTCAATGACTCAATGGCTTCTTTGGAGGCCGGAACCATCCTCACATCTTGTTGCATCGACTCTTCTATCATTCCATCCTCTTCATCATCGCTCTCAGAATGTTGCCTAGTGTCTATGAAAATGTCTAATGCTAAAGAAAATTGTCGAGACGTGGAATCCGCAGAAGTGTTGGTCTGAACCTCCAACTCTTGTTGAATCCGTAAAACAATCCTTCGTCCTAATTGGTCCAGGCTTCGTGGGATGTAGCCAGGATGGGGCCATAAAGCACTTCGTAGAAAAGCATGATCATTATTTTCTACAAAACTTTCACATGTTATAGGTACTGAGCTTTCGAATAACAACATTACTGGCCTTAGACGAGAGAAATCACGTGTGTAGGGTCGAACACTAACATTCACATTGAATGTCAAGATATCTCTCGGTTTTACCTTCAAGGGTTCTTCGCATCTCACACGAAAGCAAAAAGAATCATCTAATCTTTCTTCAATATCCACCATGTTGGAGAATGATGAATGAAACAATAACAAAACTTTTAAAGTCTCAAGTGTTTAATGGTTTATGGTCTATTTATTATGCGAAAACAAAAATCTTCTGGTAAATTTATATCTATAAAAAGGGAGATAGAGATAATAGAGATAAACTTTCTATCATCTCAAATATTTTATATCAACAATATCTATCTAGCTTTTAAATTAAATACATTGATGATGAAACGTAATCAAATCATAAAATCAGTTTAGCAATTGATTATCGGTTATTAAATTAAATGGCATACCAATTATCTTCTTACCAAAAATACTTGCGAAGAACTTTTCTTTAATTTTGGCGCACCATCTTGATAGTTTCCCTTTAAGTTTATAATACACGTATGAAAACTAAATTCAAGTAACACCAAGAAAAAAATATTTCACCATAAAAATATTATTATTCAAAATAAATTATGTAAATCTTTTATCATTTTAGAAAATTTTCTATTCTAATCTATATTTTTATTTTCTACGTAAATTACGTGTGTATCTTATTTTTAATATTAAATATTGTTTCTCGTGTTTTATTTTGTAGCTATTTGTATTCAGGGTATCTATTCATAAAATTTTGAATTACATAAATATAAATTATATTATAAGGATAATCGTGATAATTCTAATTCTTATCTTTTAATTTAATTCAAACGTCAAATTAGTCTAGATTGTTTCTCATAGTTGAATTATATAAATATAATTTACACTAAAGATTAACATGTTAATTCTAATTCCTATATTTTAATTCAAGCATCTACTTTTTAAAAGTTATATTTATCTTTTGGTACAGAAAAATATATTTATCTAATCCACGTACCATTTTGATATTTTTTTTCTATAATATTTATTTTTAAATGATTTAAAAATTTCAGGGACTAAAATTAAAAAAAATGATAAAATATAGAAATAAAAATTATATTTAAGTCTTTTTAGATTTTAAATATTATACTAAATGATAATTATTTTTCATGGATCAATAATTTTGAATTAGTATTAACTTGTACATTTCATAGACTAACTGCTTATTATATGTAATTAAAATTTATAATAAATTATATAAAATATTACTTTTAATTATTGATATTTTATTTTAAAATATTAAAATTTAATTTATAAATAAATATAATAAATAAAAATTTAGATTAAATAAAAAATTAAAAAAATTCTTAAAAATATTTCCGTTAATAGTCTTAAAAATACTCCACGCAAAATAATTCCACATAGAAATTGGTTATCGTTAGCATTCACGTACGTATGAAGATGCATTTAACTAATATCTATCTATGGCTCAAAACAAAATTAGTTATATGAACATAAATCTCTCCTCTCTATCTATTCTATCTTTTTTATTCTTTCTTCTACTTTAAGATGACAAAATGTATATACGAATATTTACAAAAATATATACAAACAAGATAAATATTTGTACAAAATTTTGAATATGATACAAAGCATGTATATACTCACAAATTGTGCGGGTATGATATATATATATATATGAAAATTAATTGTATTGTTTTTTTACTTAAATAAATGTATTTATGACTTGGTTTGAATAAATCAATATTATATTTATTTGATTTTAATATTATGTGTATTTATTTTTAAGGTTATGTTTAGATTATTAAAGAATCAATTTTTAATATAATTGTAACAATGATTTTAATTACTTTTCTATTGATATATTATTATGGGAAAAGAGTATTCACTCACCATACACTTTATTTACTTTATAAATTGAGATCTTAAACTTGAATTTTATGTACAAATCAAAGAGAGTATCTCGATATGAACTAAAATGACAATATTACAATCATCATCTAAAATAAAAATAAAAATACAAACTCATATTAATTAGCAGATGAATTAGGTTACTTAGTCGTCCTTTGCAATGGGCATAGGATAACGGCACAAAGGACACATGTGACTGGTTTGCAGCCACTTGACAATACAGTGACCATGAAACACATGATTGCATGGCATTGACAACAAAGACAAAGAATTCCCATATTCATCTTGAAACTTGTCCATGCAAATATTACATTTTTCTATTTTCAAGAACGATGAGTCGACTGTGAATGCTTTCAATGACTCAATGGCTTCTTTGGAGGCTGGAACCATCCTCACACCTTGTTGCATCGACTCTTCTATCACTGCATCCTCTTCATCCTCTTCATCATCATCTTCATCATCGCTCTCAATGGCTTCATCATCATGTTGCACCGAGACTATGAAAATATCTAAATCCAAATGAAATTCTCTACACTCTGAATCATCAGCACAAGTGTTAGTCTGAACCTTCAAGTGTTCTCGAACCCGAAAAGCAATCCTTCTTGCTAATTGGTCCAAGCATTCTGGGATGTCGTCAGGAGAGGGCCATAAAACACTTCGTAGAAAACCATGATTGTGTTCTATGAAACCTTCGCAAGTTATAGGTACCAAGTTCCCGAATAAGATTGTTGGCCCCATAAGTCGTCGACTAGGAGAGGAATAATATGTGTAGCGTTGATTAGTAACATTCACATTGAATTTCAAGATATCTCTCCATTTTGGCTTCAAGGGTTCTTCTGTTCTCACACGAAAACAGTAACAATCTGATCTTTCTGTGATATCAAACATGTTGAAGAATGGTGAATGGAGAAAGAACAAAAATTTCCAGGTCTCTCAGCTCAATGGTTTTTGGTCTATTTATATTAATAATATTGTAGGAGTAGAAAAATCTTCTTATAAATCTATAAAAAGAAAATAGGAATGATAGAGATAGATTTTCTTTTAATCATATCTGTATCGTATATAAACTATATCTATCAAGTGTTTGAATTAAATATATTATATTGTTGAAATTTAATCAATTCAAAAAATCAGTTTAGCAATTGATTGTTGGTTATTAAATTAAAGGGCATAACAATTATATTATCACAAAAAAATACTTACAAAAGATTTTTCTTTAATTTTGGCGGGCTATCTTGATATTTTGATTTTGAGTTCATAGTACAATTAGGAAAACTAAATTCAAGTACCGCCAAGAAAAAAAATATTTTCATCATTAAAAAGTATTATTACCCAAAATACTTACTGAAAATAATTTTTTGCAAAATTAATTTTTTTTAGTTATGTATAATAAATATTTAGCATGTGCATTACATAAGTTTAAAATATTAGTCTATTTATAATTTTTTTTGATGTTTTTCTATTTTAATCTATATTTTTATTTTCTATGTAAAATTACTTGTGTATCTTATTTTCAATATAAAATATTGTTTTCCCTTATTTTATTTTCTAGTTATTTGTATTCAGGGTATCCTATTCATTAAAGATTGAATATTAGATAAGTATAAATTATATTAAAGAAAATCTTGATAATTCTAATTCTTATCTTTTAATTTAAACATCAAATTTTATTTATTTACAAATATTTATTTATCTAATGTTATCTATTTTTTTTATAATAAAAAAAAACCATCTTCAACTTTTATATATTTGCATGAGAGTACTTTTAACAATTTTTCTTCAATGAGAAAATTTCTAGAATTTTTTTTTAATTTCTTATCTAATTCAATTTTTGTTTATTATAATTATTAATAAATTATATATTAATATTTTAAAATAAATTATCAATAAATAAAAATAATTTTTTACAATACAAATCATTTATCATAAATTTAAATATAATTTATATATTTAAAAATACTTATCTATACTAATTTTAAATATAATTATATATTTAAACGTAATATTTATTTATATATAAATTTTGCATTGCACAAACTTAAAATACCAGTATCTATCTTATCGACTGTTTCCTTAATCTACTCTCATCTATTCTTAAGTAGCTGCAGTCTTCATTTTTTATTGAAAGTATTTCAAGAATTATTCGCATTTTTCTTGGGACAAATAACTTCATCCACATTTAGTATTTTTTTTTTCAAATAATATTTTCTTGATTTTATATATTTTTAGTTTAAATTTTTAAATCTTATAATTATATTAAGTTGAAGATATTTTATATAAATTAATATCTTAGTATATGCATTTCACACGTAAAATATTTATTATATATAACTTAATTTATAATAAAATACATGTACAAATAAATTCTATATTTTAATATATATATATATATATATATTTAAATCATTGTATGTATAAAATATAAATTC